ACAATGAAAGTACGAGAGAATGGCGATAGACTTAGGCAAACTGCGGGATGGACCGAAAAAATCTAAACAAAAAAGGCAAAAAAAATGACGTCTTGAAGAATCGCGACCATGAACGCGATATAAATTAACAAAGCATGTAGTTGGGGCTTTCGTACCGAATACAAGGGAACGATGGAAAATCAAAGTTCCAGCATACACAAACATCATATGAAACTGAATTGACCAGACTGACCTCAATCCTGAGAGGTGTAGACCACTGGCACGCGGTCAGCCAGAAAAGTTTAAGCCTAAACAGAATATTAGAACGCATATTTCGAATAACGACATCTACATTCCGGGTCCTTCCCACGTCCATGCGGTATGCAAAGACGATTCGGGCCACCTCAGACACACAGGTTGAATGGGCAACTGCGCGGCGAAAGCGCCTGAAATTGTCTAATTTGCTAACAAAATATCGTCAATAGCTACTGACCGCTGACCTGCTTTGAAGTGAATAAGCTGAGTTCGATTTGTACACGTTCCTTCGGGAAAGATCATTATTTGCGACAGTGGAGAAGTAATACCGTTTTTCCGCTGGTTGTACACTTTCCAGGCCCGTTCCTTTAGTTTCTCGGCAGTCATTTTGCGAGATTTCTTCATGTCGCGATTGACTAATATCGGCTTCGTTAAAGAAATGAGCTCTGGCGAAAGGAAATGACTTTCTGTCAACGAATATTGAATGCAATAGCTTACTTCCGAAGACTGGCATATTAATTAAACTACTCTTGCCAATAAACGAAGGCGCGTTTAGTAGACAGTATGGGAGAGCGTCGTAAAAAGACGAATGCGGCGCCACAACCAATATTGGAGCTTCCCACGGTTCGGCACGTCGTCCCTTGACTGTCACCGGAAACACGCCGAGGACGAAGTGTAAATAAACCATAACGCGTGCGACGAACTCCTTTCCTCGTCTGCAACCACAACACATGTAAACATAGAATGTTGAAACGTTGGTTAATCATTCAACGTCACATCGCGTCGATGAACAGCTTACTTTCGCCACCCTTTCAGGGGCGCCTCTAGTTCCACCTCGTACTGAAACAAAATGATCACCGCTGCCAAGTAAGCAACACCAATAAGAAAGGCTGCCAGCATCAGTCGAACCGGGAACACGAAGACAGTCATCAGCGCAATCTAAACGACAGTCGATGAATGAGCGACGAATCGCAAAATCGCCCATTCAACAGATCGCTCTGGACAACATTCGCAAACCAAACATACTGATCCACATCTGATTCTGGACAAGACTGATTTATCACTTAAAGACAAATATGCGAAACAAAGGGAATGCAACGAATCTAATATTCCTAATTAGATTTTAAAGCCACCACGGACCGAGGCGCAAAAGCCAAATTTACAAGCATTTATCTGTTATAGCAAATTCAGCACGTTAAAGATAAAAATGAATTCTGGAGCTGCGTTCCGAAAACTTAGGCAATTATGAGTAAGGTAGCAGATTCAACTTTTTATTAAAACAATTTACCAGAACAGCAAGTAAGCATATCATATTCGGCGAGCTCGAGACATTCCGAGAGCAGCGATTAATCGACGCAATGTGAGGCATTAAAGCAAAACATTCCTTCTGGAACAAATTCACTTCTCTAGAACATTATTATTTTGTGCGGAAGAAGGAACACCGCTGTCGGTTTCAAAAATTTCACTTATTAAATACACCTTTCCAGCCTTCTAACCAACATGTTCTTAATCAATCGTGTGATATGATTGTGAAATGAGCAGAGTTTGAATACAGCGTACGGTAAATAAAACTGATTCAACAACAAAATAATGCGAGGTCGAGCTGAGACGGTTCTTGACAAAACAATGACATAATAAAGCTGGTTATGTCTTATGGGCGGATGAATTCGATGATTACGAATAAGAATGATGGCGCAGATTTGGCAGCCAGTAACTATCAGATTTTCAACCACCAAAAATGCAAATGCGGTATGAATGTCGATAAATCAGGCAAATACTTCTGAACCGATATAGATCACAGAGCATAATTGACTTGTACATCTGAAGAAAGCTGAACAGATGCTTGACAACTAGACAACCTATACGCAAATACGAATAACTATAATGAAAGAGAGGATACTGATACAACTCGTTCATTCATGTGGCGATGCCACCTGCTCGTTATTTTGCCTTTTGACCACCTGCCGATTCAAAAAAATGCTAAGTGGAAGGAGGAGCAGTAGCCAATCGTGTATAAATTCAATCATCCACGTCTCCTGCCTCATAAGCACGCAAGTTTTTAAACGTTTTCAGGAGTAACGAACTCACTACTAAAATTTTATTCACCACTGATCAGATGCTGGTTCTATCGCAACCAGAATAAGCCCTTCATCGGTAATAAGATTTTCGCGTTAACATTTTCAGCAGTTGGGCCTGTTGACTTATAATTTTCTTTTCGGTAGCACGTTTGAAGAAAAGTTCATTCAAAATTAAAAATGATGGCAAGCTATTTAAGTCGATCATATAGATATGCATTACTATTCCACCGCAACGCTGACACATCACGTGTCCAATACACAGTGATCACTGCGAGAATAATATATGAGATCCAGTGACGGAATCCAAGTTATTGCTTCGAAAGTTATTCTAGAGAGATTGACAGCACCACTCACCGTAAGCGCGATCGTCAGGAAACATAACTAGCACAGAACCATAAGGTTGATGCACTGTTCGAAGAAAAAAATAAACGACTAAGAATATATGATAAACGAAAATACCCCGCTTAACGAGAGGATACTTTCTGCGAGTAAATGAAAGCGCTGAGTTAGCATTATGTTAGGTTTCTTTGCACAGCACTTATGAAGATGAGTCCTTAAAGTAATGATTTATTACTTATTTTCAAAACATTACCGTAACCACTGTTCCATCCGATACTACCTCATAACACTGACGTACATTTTCTGTAGCATCAAGACCAACTTTGGTCATCGCTAGTTCACTGATACGATGTCACTATTACTTAGAAGGCCGTCTGGACTAGTCTGATCCGCTGAA